CAGATTAGGGTACGTGATAGGTTGTGAGGGATCAATGCGTTGATAATTGTATAAACTATTTCATAAAAAGAAAATAATAGTTTACGCCACAGCCGCATAAATACATAACGCGTATGCACGACACACACCTATACGAAAGAGCATACTCCATAAAAGGAAAGGCGTGCAATTTCTTAGCAATGATTGTTAGCGGAACTGCAATGTTCCTTGGCAAAATTTGACGACCTAGACCATAATCTTTCTTTTCTTTAAACATGATATCGCACGGTTCAAGTAGATACGCTGAAGCCAAAAATGTATAATCCCTGAATAAAGCTATTTCGCAAGACCTTTGAAATTTTAGATGATATATTTTATGCTATATAAAGCAAGAATAAAATTAAAAAGTTTGACGACCTGAAAGAAGTCTTTGATCCGAAATACCGCTGACATCATATAAAGGCAGGTGTTTTACAGCTTCTCCTAACTCTCCTTTTGCTAATAAACCTCGTTCGCCATCCGGTAGTTGGATCGGCATTTTTTGTAATAAATGATCGAGAATACAAAACTGGTCGGGCAACCGGACCAGGGGATCCTATTGACAGAATAACATGAAAAGGCGACAATATTAGAATGCCAATTATTACACGATCTTTTGCAAAGATTCTAAAAAAAAAAAACCTGTCTGGGCAAGAATCCGTTTTTATATCCAACCATAAACGTAGGCAAACTAGCATCATGTTCAATGGTATCTCGCATAATACTGAACGCACGAGGCCGGGCATTAAGACGTGTGGAAGGCGCAAAGGCATCAGTGATTGTAGTCTTTTGCCTTATTATTTTTAGTGAAGTCCCGAGAAAAAATTTTCCAATGGAACTTTGAATGAAGAGGCGAGAATTAAACATAGTCAGCAACGAAATTTATTTTTTCGATGAGAATGATGGTACATACGTACACACAGTATTAGACGTATTTAAATCAAATATTTGTTCTTGATTGTATCAGCAGGCTTGGGAACATGATTAAAACATTTTGTAAGATTATTGACGATGTGATGAATCGTAAAATAATATACAGTAAATTAACACAATTATATGTTCATTATCGTAAATAAAATCTTCCGAGATTATATTAAAATAAAAATGAACGCCGTGTACACGAATATAATTGGGTATTCAATCATACGACTGATCTTTTGAATGCATCGATCATTCTCGCCTGGGCTTGTGACCGTTAATACAGTATATCTAGAAGATATATAAAATTCGTCTACTCAACCAATCGCACAATTTAACGGCCCGTTCAAAAACTAATGATCATTCGACAATTACTATGGATTCATTATCTGCTATATCACAGCTCATGCCCTCCCCGCGGCAAACTACTATTAATGTCTTCGTTTCGTGAAGATCACATTGAGAATTTGAGAATTTCACCATTTAAAACAAGTACACAATACAAATCGATAAGAAATGGGATTTATCTGTCTAGAACAGGAAAGGATTTTTTTTTTTCGCCATAAATGCCAATAGTTCCTTTCCGCATATTATAAGTGCTCGTCATTCTTAATGACATCGTAATAGAATAAAATAAATTCGGCCATCTATATACTGTATTGGTCAATCTTCTTCATAAACAGGCTTATTTAATACTCCGAATCGGCTTAACCTGAAGAATGATACGACCGGGCCAAGTATCATTCATTAAAAAAACATTTCGATTCTTTTATCACATGTGCCATGAGATTGTTACTCTAAACTTATTGTTCCTGATCAAGTCATGAGACGATGGTAAATTACTCTTTTCGTGAACTTTTTCCAAAAACCGATCACTAGACAACATTTTACTTCCGTGTGAAAGTTGCATTCATTAGTTAAAATAAAATCTTGCCTCAAATGGAATTATCGACTGAATTCCCACGATGCATCCCAATCAAGAGGGAAAATTGCGGGGAACAAGCTGAAAAGGACAATATTATTTCGAAATTTTTCTAAATACAAAATGGAAAAAATCAGCAATTGGTTTGTGTGCGATGACTTATGACATGCAGGTCGACTGCCAGCTATAATGAAAATGCGTGGGAAATGAGTTGTGTTGACTCACAATAACCGCAAAAAGTTTAGCACGTACGCAATTATTCCATTGAATATATTCATTCCAAAGAATGAGATTGAGAGTTTTCTAAATGATGGGAACGTGTTTTTCTCTTTAATAATAATTAATATTTGCGGGGGGTTTAAAAGTATTCAGCTACAAATTAGATCAGGTTTACTCTTTATATACAGTACTTACTGTATTTTAATAGAATAAATTTATTATTGCAAAAATACATAATATACAGTGAACCCTCTATAAATGCATAATCTTGGAACCGAAAATATAGAAGAGTGCATTTATGGAATAATAAATAAACGTACGTTTAGGATACTGTATGCTACAAATTCTCGCAAAACGCATTAACCATACATCGATTGATCGACGTGGATTTTTATGAAAAAATATTCAACTACAGGTATATTGTCGTTTGTCGACTTACAGAGCGCAAAATTTTTTACAAGAATATTTTCTAAATTGTTACACGAATACTTCGACTCTTGACATCACAGATCGAATGTTTTCATGAACGTACTTTTAAATTTATTTTGCGAATTTTTACGAAAGTATCTTTGGCTATATACTATTGATTGTCGACTTATGGGAAGAAAGTTTTTTACAAGTGTGTCTTCGAGATTCGTTATGCGAAAATACTATACGTAACTACGTTAACTATATTATCGATTGTTTTCACAACCATATCTTGCAAATGAATTAACTACATCATTCTTAATATTTTAGGTTAATGTCTTAAGTCACATTATTATATTGGCGTTAATGTCCTCGAAGTCACATTATGCGACCATTCGAAACACTATCAATTTAAAAAAATTATAAAATTCGCAAATAAATCTTTATTTTATTGGTTAAATAATATATACAGTATAGTATTATATAATAATTAATTTAATTTAATTTGAGATATTGGTTTAATCAATCCATTTTAAAATCTCTAAGTCAAATAGACGAACAACAATTAATAGTAAGAGGTTTTTCTTATTAAAGGGAAAATAATATTTGTCGTGATATACTAAGTTAGTAAAATTCAATTACTTGAAATTTATTACAATTAATTACAAAAGAGATAAAGGATATTTGATTTTTTCAAAAAAATAATTCATTGAAAAATTCAAAACAAGAAAATCTGAAATCAACTGTCAAGAACAATAATCCAATTTATATATGTTGAACTCCATATGATTTTTTTTTTTTTGAGTACCCATAGCCAGGCTAGATTGTCAGTTTATTAATCAATTGAAAACATAAGTACATTTTCGTTTGAGCAGCATGATACATACTACAGCTAAACTATTATTCTAATCTAACTAACTCATCATAAACATAAAAGCCTCTAAATTCAGCCTTGGGGACAATATTTCACTCCACAATATCTTTGGACAAAAACCCACCTAGTTTATTGCATCATTGCCAATAGGTTGTCATTGATATATATCAATCAAGCCACTGAAATACAAAAAACTACAAAAAGATGGGTTGAAAAAAAGGAAAGGGTGATATCTAAAAATATCTAAATAGATAAAAAGAAAATGAAAAGTAAAAATTGAAAAAAAAAATATTTCTAGCTTCCTTCAAAGATCTGCTTCTCAAGATCTCTTCTCAATAAGAAATATCTGATCGGAATATCCTTTCTTTTCCTAATCACCTGAAGAACTTATCCATTCTTGATCTTGATTTTCTTCTTGTGTACTATTTGAAGAAACTTATCACCTAGTGGAAACCTTTATTTTCAGGACATATTTGATTCCAACCTTCTTTGGACAATAATTTTTTATCCACCTGTGATAGAGAGATAACTTATAATGGACCCCAGGTTCTTATACAACCTAGTAGGGACTAAATCATATTATTTTAGTATAATTCCTTTTAGTAACCATATCTAGTTAAATAAATTTTACTGGTATATATCTTCCATTACTCAAAAAGTCATTTTCCAAAAATCTTTTTGCCTCACAATAGTAAAAGGCTACCAGAAAAGCAATGGAGATCCTCATTAATTATGATATCCTTCAACAACTTTTGGGAAAATGTATTCTTAAATATAATCAAAAAGTTGGAGCTTAGTATGGACTAGAGACTATTCAGTTTTATTGCCTGACTGGAATAAAAAGGAGACCTTGATCTTGAACTTTGCCTAATCAGAATAATGAGAAAAAATGATCTCAGCTTAAACAAATAGTAGCTTTTTTATCACCTGAAGACTTGTTGCTTGTATCTTATTGGTCTCATAAAACTTGATCTGTAAGTTAACCCAATTGGAGAAGTAAAGTGGATATGGAAACCAATCAACTTTTTCTGTCACCAATGATGTCATCAAAACATATGAGGTGATTAATAAGAACTTGTTTACATTATGTTATTAATATATTTCATATCAACCAATCAAATGCCAGGTGACATTGTGCTATTAAAAATTCAGAGTCAAACTGAGGTAGGCAAAATCCTTCAAGAAAACTGTAAAAAATAATAAACACTTTAAGAGGGTATAAGACAGTATGTAAAAAAATGGATAATAAGCCTTCTCCTATCAACAGAATCTCTATTATTTGTCACTTCTAGCTCTATAAGGTGACACTCTACTTATCAATTCTTTTACTTCCTAGAACCTTCTTGCCCTTAGTAGAGAAAGTATATACTTGAGTCTTTTCAGGCCACTAAAGGCTTAAGTTTTTATTCAAAAGAACTTATAAATAAATAAGGGAAGATAGGAAAGATATATAAAGATAGGAAAGATATATAAAGATAAGCTTCAAATTGTTTTAAAGAAAGTGTAATGATTTTATTAGCAAAAAAGTATAAAACTTCTTGTGAACATCTTTTTTATGTGTGGTTAAAGGATTAGCAGAAAGAGTTTTTATGAATATTTAAAGATATTTTATTATATAAAATATAGATATAATAAACAATATAAATAATAGACAAATTGTATAATATAAAAATAATAAATATAATTTTTTTTTTTAACGTTAGCTTATCCTTGCGTCAGGTTGGTACCTTTATTAATTATTAAAATACATTCTAGGGACAACCAGTATTACTAGTTATCCATACTGTCTAAGGATTTACAGATCAATGAATAGTATAAAGGGCATCTATTTATGTCTCACCCAACCAGGATAGGGGAACTATATTACCATCTAGTGTAGAATTTCTCTTAATTCTTAACAAAGTTGAAAGAAGGTGGATGTATGCTACCAAAATAATAGGTCACAAATTGTACTCCCTTATCACAAACCAGCACTTCCTAGGGAATACCACAGGATGGTCTGTTGCTACCCTTTTTGAGGGAAACTAACATGCCAAGAACTTGCCTAAGATGCGCAGCACCACTGGTGTTAGGAGTGTCTTATACAAGGTCTAAAGACCTTGTTAGCACTGAAAAAAAAAAGAAAAAAATAAAAAATATGGATCTGTCCTGTGTCTTGACTGAGGCATGGTCTTGTGTCACAGAGCTTCTGTCACCCATCTATTGAGAAACTGTTTTGTATGATCCTTATATTTTTGTGGGTGGTTGGGTCTATCTTTATATGCAGTCCATGGGGTGAACAGTCCGTGGGCTTGTTTACTCTTCCTTGATAGTCAATAATTTAGGAGGTTGCAGTATCCTGTATCCACCCGCACCAGCACATGACTTATGGTGGACCCC